CAGTTTAATCTGTGTTTGAGTTTAGCTTGTCTGCAGATACAACTAAAAAAAATAAAATAAAAACTAATTATTCTTTATTGGTTTTATTGGTCTTTATTGGTTTTATTTGGTACAAAGGTTTCACTCGAAATACAGACACGAAATTCCAAATACACAATACATAGTTTAATTTAGTTTTAAAAATAAAAATCAGCTTTAATCTGCCTTCTAAATTACAATTTAACAATAAATTAAGCTGATCTGTTGTATAAAATCTCATGCATGTTTGTGGTTTAATAGAATAGAATAGAATGGAAGAGTTTAATAGGAAGAAGCATCATTATTAATATGGCCGTTCCACTATAATCTGGGGCATTTAGTGACACCTAGCGGTTAGAACTGTATACTGCAACTAAGCTGAAGTTAAGTAAAAAAAAAAAACTAACAAAAAGAACTGTAACAATTTTAATTTAATAGTTATATAAAGATACAAAAATATTAACGTAATTATGTAAAAACTGTGAAATTATTTTAAATAAATAAAATCTAACGCTGTGAAAGAATTGATATGTGAAAAAAAACATTTTAAAAAACATTTTAAAAATATCTATATTTGATCATTTAGATGTTCAGGTTTTAAAGATGAAGACCATCCATCTATGTTTTGAGTATTATACCATTTTAATTTATTTCTTTGCAATAACTATCATTTTAATGTGCTTTTTATTTGTTTAACTCAATAAAAATGATAACACATTTTCTAACTGTGTAATACTTGGTGAATGTAGTGGAGAACCTGTTTTTCTCTCCTGTGGGGTTTATTTACGTGCTTCACAGTGACGACACATACCATTAGGAGGCCCTCCTGCGCCACAACCTTCTAGCAGCTTCCTTCTAATTACATTCCTCTTCTGCTCTTTCTCTGGGTCAAACTGAGACGGACATAAAACACAGCGGGAAATTAGCGTTAGAGTGATCACTGTTAAAAAGACATTTAGGTATTTGTTGAGTATTTTTAGTTTCCCTCATCATGTCTCGGGTGTTTGAGGAACATGATGGCCAGAAATCAGCATCTGTGTCTCTGAAGCTTGTTTATGAAAAAATCCAGGACTCACCAACACTTTTGAGTTCACACAGAAAATCTTGCTTGGTCTTGATGACTCTAAACTATCACCTAAGCTGCAGACTCTTAAAAATGACTTGATGTTATATGTGTAACTCAAGACCCATAAAGTAGTGGTGGATTCTGATAGCTCACTCTGTTAGAGCATAGTCCACAGTCGCCAGNCTGCCATCTTCATTAAATAGTAGCAATGTATAGAGTGTATTTCTTTAAAGTTGAGACTAGTTTAAAGTTATCTTCAGTGCTTTTCCTTTAAAAATAAGGACATTTCAATGTGACCCCAAACTTTTGAACGGTGGTGTATATATATATTTTCTTTTCACAATTTTGATATAATTCCCTTTTCTAAATGAGTCGCTCTGAAAGCTAAAGGCAGGTTTTACAGTTTCTACACTCCAGTTAACGATTCATTGATTACTAAATTAGTTGAGAATTATTTCAATAATTGATTAATTGTGATTAATTGTTTCAGTCCTACAATTATTTTAAAAGGTTGTGACAAATAATAGCCAAAATATTGCTTGGGGTTACAATCACTTCAAAGAAATCAGTAAAAATATCTCAAATTAAGTGTATTTACCTTTTATTAGAGCAGGTAATTGAGATGATCTGCCAATGGAAGCAGTATATTTACTCAGAAAATAAATTAATTAGATAATATTCACTTGAAATAAGACAACGTAATAATTTTTTCTTACTCTGAATGTAAATTGTCTGGTTCTATTGGCTAATTGTCTCACTTTCCTCCTCAATTTAAGAAAAAATGACTTCTTTAGATGTTTTAAGTTGTTTCCTGAGGTAAACTCTAAAGCTTTGAAATCTTCTGATTTTAGGGATTATCATAAGTCATAATTAAAATCAACTGCAAAGCCACTGAAACTTAATAACGCATGGATAGAGCCAGAGTTTCTGAACAGCACCTGCATGTTTTCTGCAGCCCTGATGTGATATTCCAGCTTGGATGAAGGAATAAAGTGTTCAGAAAGGTTTTCTCCACCCCTGAGCTCAGAGAGGCGCTTAGCGAGTCTCCACACGTCTGAGGCTGATGAGCGCAGAGATGTTATCACAGAGACATCATAACCTCGGCTGGCCCTGAGCATTGTTCTGCCAGATCACCAGCGGGCCCGGCCCGTTGGTTCTGATTAGCATTGCTTCGCTTTGAGCCGCGCCGCTTACACGCCTCCTTTTCCTATCACAAAGGAGCGAGTAAATCCATACGCTGCGACTCGGGTGTGATTTTTATCTGCTTTGAGGGAAAATAGGAAAAGTCTTCAAATGGAGTTGATGGAAGCCGTGGCGACACTTTGGGGGAAGCAGACTTGTGACGCTCCGTCATTATGAGGGAAGTGCAGAGCTTAGGTGAGAATTTGCTGTGATAACGCAGCGACAGTGAAGCTCTGTGTTTTCATTCTCGCCCTCCTCAGGGGGAGGACAGCGGGGGGGTTACTGCAAATGTTACGGCGGGTTAGCAGGTGTGGAAAGGAATCCTTACTGATTACGCTGCACTTGTAGCACCAGCTGGAGGTCACTGGATGAGAGCTCAATCTGGCCGCTGGGAGGGAACTGGTCCTGTTTGAAAAGCAGAGGGTAGAGGTTAGAAAGATTCGATCGGCAAAGCTCTGCAGTCCACACAAAGAAACACCAAGCAGCCGAGCGGTCACACTAACCCAGCTTTATATTACAAACCATCCCTTTCACAGGAGGTCGTTTACATTTCTAACATAAATGCATAAAAAGAAAATGCAATTTCCAGCCTGGTTAGACCTTTCACATCAGAGGACGTCCTTTATTTCACGGACAATCTGGACTCTGATATAAACGACGTCTTAAATCTGTCACATTAAATCCTCTGTTTATACATGTAAATGGAAAAAACGTCGCTCCATTGTTTACTGTATTAATGATTTATTCAGTCAACTATAAATCACTTGAGTACATTGGTACGGTAAATAGGAAACCTACCTTCTAAAGTCCTTACACTGGCTCCCTGATCCAGAACGCTGCTGCCTGTGTCCTCACTATGACTAAGAAAGGAGAGCACATCAGCCCGGTTCTAAAGTCCTTACACTGGCTCCCTGATCCAGAACGCTGCTGCCTGTGTCCTCACTATGACTAAGAAAGGAGAGCA